GACTGCAATTGCACTTACAACCATACTTAACGCTAGGATCGATTCTGTTTTTTTTTCAACTTATTATATTAATTTACGAAATATCTATCACTTGTGCACATTCATATATAACTAGACACAAGGGCAATATTAACTTATTACCAAATATAGCATGTAAGAATTTAAAGCTTAAAAGCCAAACGAATTAGCCCAAATGAAAAAAGGTACTTTTTATATCTAAACTTTTAAATGTTCTCATAACCTTCGTGTGTTAAATTCAACTAACCCTCGAAGGAAACAGCAAAAGATGTGGACCAGTCTACATCAATTTGAAACGGCTATATTTCCTGAACTATGCAGCAAATGTTAATTATTTTACTCTTCTTGGGAGTCTGGTGGAAAATCACCGCAATTGCTCATTTAACCCATGTTCATTTATGATTTAACCAATGTTCATCTCAAAATGTATCTATCAGTCATGTGTTAATTTTTAAAATCTTTTAACAATGTATCTGTTGGTGTCATATTTCACCACAGTTATTAGAACAAGATATATAGGTATGTAAACTAGCCGAGCTCGCTACTTGCTCTAGCTCGAGCTCGCGTCTTTACTGAGTCGAGCTCAGCTCGTTAAATTTAACGAGCTTATAATCAAGCTCGACCCCAAATCATTTATCAATATTAACAAGTCGAGCTCGAGCCTTAACAAGATAAACTATAAATGAGCTTTAAACGAGCCTTCAGCTCTTTAACTGAACGAGCTTTAAATGAGCTCGAGTTTGACACACTATCTATTATTTTAGGTGGTTGATTATTGAAATGAAATAAGATTTGATATCGGATTTTGGTGTTCTTGAGATTGCAATCTCATTAATATCGTCTCACTCGTACGTTTCCCTACCTTATTATGTCTTATAGTGGCAACTAATAATGGCATCACAAGAACTATCCCTCTACAAATGCATCCCCTCTGGTTTTCTAATTATACAATAACAACAAAAATTAAATAATTTAAAGGGAATCCTAGGGAAGTATACGAAGTGAGTACTGACTGGCATTATTATATGCACAATGTCAGACCAAAATTGCATTGGGCAGCAAGAATTAATGCAGATATTATATATTTTCGGTTTTGCTATGAAGTCAACCTTCCATATACAATAAATAAACCTTATCATATTATTTGATTATTTAAATAACACTAATATAATTTTATTAATATGGTAGGTTTATTTGTTGTATATAGAAGGTTGGCTCCACTACGGAGCCAACTGTTGGCTTCATAGCAAAACCGTATATATTTTTCAATTGTTTTTATTTTTCTTCACCGACTATTAACTTCTCTTCTGTACACTTCCCTCCCACGATGGGCATTTTTAAACAGAGCTGGTGAACAGTTTGGAAGTCAGCAAAATATTTAATGCTTACAGGTGATTTTTATTTCTACTTTTTATTTTTCCTGTTATATTTCCTTCAACAAAGGGATTAGGATTTTGACTCAGCACACACACACACAAATTTGTTCATATATAGAGGTCTGTTTATCAAATCATATTTGCTAATTTGACAAGTGACTTGTTTGGATGTTAGCTGATTGATATAAAGTTAAAGGATTAGACCTCATTTAAATGTTTGACCTATCAAATTTAATAACCAGCTTCATTGAAACGAGTGTATTTTAATTACTAGTTTTTTTTTTTTTTTTTTTTAACGAAACAACGCCCCGGAAGGGCGGGGGATTGGGCTGGATCCCCAACCTGTGCATAGATCAAGGCCCCAAAAACGAGAGCCCAAAAATGTCAACGAACCAGATACAAAGGTCTACATAGTCTGAGAATCAAAACCAAAACCAAAAGAAAAACAAGAGAGAAAAAACCGAAAAACGAAAGGGAAACAAAAAACTACAATAAAAAGTCGATCTTCGGGCTAACAGATGCCCGAGATAAATGTCTATACTAATGAAAATAGAAATCCTATACTAGTGAAAGCGGAACGCTGGGTATCCAAGCTGGTCCATCCGTACAAGAGTGCGAAGGC